CACTGAGGAGTTGATCGACTGGATCCGCGCAGCTCGTCTCCAGCTTAGAGAGAGTTTCGGCTCGGACTTTCCTGTTCTGTGTCTGCACTCTGACAGAGGCGGGGAGTTTTCCTCTGCCCGTCTGGGAGCCTTCTTTCGCGCACAGGGCATCCGCCAGACCTTCACGCTTCCGCCAGACCTCTCCACAGCAAAATGGGATTGCTGAGCGCCACATTGGCATGGTCATGGACGTCGCTCGTACGTCCATGATCCATGCGGCTGCCCCCCATTTTCTGTGGCCGTTTGCGGTTCAGTACGCAGCGCATCAGCTCAACCTCCAGCCCCGGGTCTCCTTGCCAGAGACCTCCCCCACCCTGCGGTGGACGGGGAAGGTTGGCGATGCGTCTGCGTTTCGGGTCAGGGGATCTCGGGCGTTTGTTCGCGACTTGTCTGCGGACAAGCTGTCCCCCCGTGCTGTTCCCTGCGTCTTCCTTGGCTTCCCCCCTGACGCGCCTGGGTGGCAGTCTTACCACCCCACCTTGCGCCGTGTTCTGTCCTCCCAAGACGTCACCTTTGACGAGTCGGTGCATTACTACCATCTCTTTCCCTACCACACTGCGCCCCTCCCACCGCCGCCGCTCTTCCTTGCGCCAGGTCCTCCCCCGATAGACCCCCTCCCCCCTCAGGGTCCTACCCCGTCAGGTGTGTCCCAGGTAGACGCAGTCAAGCCTGTCGAGGTAGCTGTTGACTCTGGTGCTGCTAGAGGTGCTGAGCCTGCGGGTGCCGGGTCTAGAGGTGCTGAGCGTGGGGGAGCTGAGTCTGGGGGTGCTGAGCCTGGGGAGGCTGAGCGTGGGGGTGCTGAGCCTTGGGGTGCTGAGCCTGGGGGTGCGGAGCCTGGGGGTGCTGGGTCTACTCGTGTGGCCTCTCGCGGTGCTTCGTCGAGGCGGGAGCCACTCTCTCCGCAGGAGCGACGCGAGTGGTTTGCCCGGCGCTGGAGCCGTGCTGCTGGAGCTGGAGGTACTACTGTTGCTGCTGGTCCCGGAGTTGCTCGTACTGGCGGTACTCGAGCTGCTGGGGCTGGGGCTGCTGGAATTAGTCCTACTGGAGGTACTACTAGAGCTGCTGGCAGTACTGGAGCTGCCCGTCCGGCTAGAGTTGGTGCTGCTGGAGCTGCTGGAGCTGGAGCTGCTGGGGGTGTTGGCGCTGGTAGTTCTACTGGCGTTGGTGCGTCTTAGGGTGCTGGAGTTGGCGCTGTTGGAGCTGGAGGTGCTGCTGGCGCTGGTTCTGCCGCTGGGGGTAGTGGTGCTGTCCCTGCTGGTTCTGGAGGCGCTGCGCGGCCGAGGCCGTACTTCGTTCCGCTCCTAGAGCAGGTTCTTGGTCTCCCGCCCTCTACAGGTCCTGCTGCTCTCTCAGAGTGTCCACAACCTGTCCAGTCGCGGTCACAGTTACAGCCCGCCTCCCCCCTACCTGCTCCTTCTCCCTACACTGGTCCTACTGGAGGTCTTGCTGAGCGTCGTGAGCCTGCGTCTCGTCCTGCGTCGCCTGTTCGTGCTGCTCGCACTAGTCGTCGTGCTCCGCGTCCGCGTCCTCCTACGGTCCCAGGCACACACCAGATGGCACTGCGTCCTTCCACTGCTCCTTTGTGTGTCCCGTTGCCGTCTCCTTCAGAGTCCTCTCTTCCTCTTCTTGCTGACCCAGAGTCTGACTCTCTTCGTGCTACCAGTCCTACTGTCACGCGTCTCCTGGCCACAGTTGTCACTGACCCTTTGAGTCCAGTGCTGCGTCTGCCTTAGTTGTTGAGCTTGTCGACCTTGCTGCTCGTCCCTAGACTACGCCGCAAGTCTCGTTGCTGAGTCTGAGTCTGTGTGTCCTCCGTACGTTGGGGGTGAGTGTGCTCTTAGCACTGACGTCATTGAGGACAGGCAGGAGGAGTTCTAGTGTTTTGCTGCTGCTTTGCCTCATCTGATGTCCACGCTGATTGCCCCTCAGGGAGACCCAGATGCACCAGACATCCCGACTCCTCGATCGTACGCTGAGGCGATCGAGGGTCCCTACTCCTCACAGTGGAAGTCAGCCATGGACGCAGAGAAGGCTTCCTGGAAGTCCACAGGGACCTACGTCGACGAGGTTCCCCTACCTGGGGCGAACATCGTCAGTGGCATGTGGATTTTCAGGGTGAAGCGGCCGCCGGGTTCTCCGCCTGTCTTCAAGGCGCGTTACGTGGCTCGAGGCTTCAGTCAGCGGCAGGGAGTTGACTACTTTCATACCTTCTCTCCCACCCTGAAGATGACCACTCTTCGGGTGCTGCTGCACATAGCCGCTCAGCGCGACTACGAGCTTCACTCTCTTGACTTCAGCACAGCTTTCCTGCAGGGCAGCCTGCACGAGGAGATCTGGCTGCGCCGCCCACCTGGCTTCACTGGGTCGTTTCCTCCTAGTACCTAGTGGAGCCTCCGGCGGCCAGTCTACGGTCTCCGCCAGGCGCCCCGTGAGTGGCACGACACACTGAGGACTACACTTGCGGCTCTTGGGTTTGCTCCTTCTACTGCCGACCCGTCGCTGTTTCTGCGCACCGACACCTCTTTGCCGCCGTTCTACATCCTCGTGTACGTCGACGACTTGGTCTTTGCCACTGCTGACACTGCTGGACTCGCCCACGTGAAGTCCGAGCTGTAGAAGAGACACACGTGCACAGACCTGGGTGAACTACGCAGCTACCTTGGCTTGCAGATCACCCGGGATAGAGCACAGCGCACCATTACCCTGACTCAGTCACACATGGTGCAGCAGGTCCTTCAGCGCTTCGACTTCACGTACTCCTCGCCTCAGGCCACTCCTCTATCTACTCGGCACTCGCTCTCAGCTCTGCCTTCGGATGAGTCCGGAGAGCCGAGTGGCCTGTACCCAGAGCTTGTTGGCTGCCTCATGTACCTGATGACCTGCACACGACCTGACCTTGCATACCCTCTTAGCATCTTGGCACGCTATGTTGCTCCCGGGAGACACCGACGAGATCACATGGCTGCACCGAAGAGGGTGTTGCGCTACTTGTGCAGTACGTCGGGCATAGGGCTAGTGCTTGGAGGGCGGCGTTCAGTAGTCCTCACAGGTCACGCAGACGCTTCTTGGGCTGATGACCAGGCTACGCAGCGATCGTCACAGGGTTACACCTTCAACCTTGGCTCCGGTTCTTTTTCGTGGCGGTCTACCAGCTCTTCTTCTGTTCTCGGCTCCAGCTGTGAGGCTGATATCTACGCGGAGGCTATGGCTGCACAGGAGCTACGCTGGCTCACCTACCTGTTGACTGACCTAGGAGAGCCGCCTCGTTCTCCTCCAGTTCTGTACGTAGACAACAAGGCCATGCTGGCCTTGTGTCGAGAGCACATACTAGAGCACAGAACGAAGCATATTGCTCTTCGGTACTTCCTTGTTCGTGAGCTGCAGCAGCGTGGTCAGCTGCGCCTTGCTTATGTGGCCTCTGAGGCCAACACTGCTGATATCTTTACCAAGGCACTTCCGCCTTGTGATCATCAGCGCTTCTGTACGATGCTAGGTCTGTCAGAATGAGAAACGAGAATGAGGAGTGACTAGCAGGAACAACAGTACAAATATGTCAAACCCTAATCTGGTGTACCCCTTATGGTGTGACCCACTACAGCCTAGAACCACACAAACATATAAATGTTTGACACACCCCCATAGGCAAGGTGGGGGAGACCTAGGGGTCACAAGACCAGTCAAGGCAAAACAAGGCAAACAAGCTCAGGGTGGATCTGGAGGATTCCACACAAATTCCGAGCACAAGCAAGCGGTCACAAGACCAGTTCACATGCAGTTTTATAATAGAGCAAGAGGTACAATGATCACAACCTAACAAGGCAAACATGCAGGTATATATATGATGATCACAGTACAAGTAAAGTCAAGAAGTAAGTAAGTGAGAAACAGTCGGCACAAGGCCTAGAAGAGTGCAAAAACGCTGATGGTCAACAGGCGGAAGCGCCTTGGTGAACACATCAGCAGTGTTGGCCTCAGAGGCCACGTAACGCAGAAGAAGCTGACTACGCTGCTGTAGCTCTCGAGCTAGAAAGTAACGCAGAGCAATGTGCTTCGTCCTGTGCTCCAGTCTGTGCTCCTAGCACAAGGCAATGGTTGCCTTGTTGTCGACGTACAGCACTGGAGGAGAACGAGGCTGCTCTCCAAGGTCAGTCAGCAGGTAGGTGAGCCAGCGAAGCTCCTGGGCAGCCATGGCCGTGGCGTAGATCTCAGCCTCACAGCTGGAGCTGAGAACAGAAGAAGAACGAGTAGAACGCCAAGAGACAGAGCCAGAGCCAAGACTGAAGGTGTAACCCTGAGACGACCGCTGAGTAGCCTGGTCGTCTGCCCAAGAAGCGTCTGAGTGCCCAGTGAGAACAGGCCGGTCTCGCCCTCCAAGCACTAGCCCCATGCCCGACGTACTGCACAAGTAGCGCAACACCCTCTTAGCTGCATCCAGATGCTCCTTCCGATGACGGCCGGGAGCAACATAGCGTGCTAAGATGCTGAGAGGGTATGCTAGGTCAGGTCGAGTGCAGGTCATCAGGTACATGAGGCAGCCCACAAGCTCTGGATACGGACCACTCGACTCTACGGACTCATCCGAAGGCAGAGCTGAGAGCGAGTGACCCGTAGGCAGAGGAGTGGACTGAGGCGAGGAGTACGTGAAGCCGAAGCGCTGAAGGACCTGCTGCACCATGTGTGACTGAGTCAGGGTAATGGTGCGGCGTGCTCTGTCCCGGGTGATCCGCAAGCCAAGATAGCTTGTCAGTTCACCCAGGTCTCTGCACGTGTGTCTCTTCTGCAGCTCGGACTTCAGGTGGGCGAGTGCGGCAGTGTCCGCAGTGGCAAAGACCAAGTCGTCGACGTACACGAGGATGTAGAACGACGGCAGCGAGGTGTCGGTGCGCAGAAACAGCGACGGGTCAGCAGTAGAAGGAGCAAACCCAAGAGCCGAAAGTGTAGTCCTCAGTGTGTCGTGCCACTCACGCGGCGCCTGGCGGAGACCGTAGACTGGCCGCCGGAGGCTCCACTGGGTGCCAGGAGGGAACGACCCAGTGAAGCCAGGTGGGCGGCGCAGCCAGATCTCCTCGTGCAGGCTGCCCTGCAAGAAAGCTGTGCTGAAGTCAAGAGAGTGGAGCTCGTAGTCACGCTGAGCGGCGACGTGTAGCAGAACCCGAAGAGTGGTCATCTTCGGGGTCGGGGAGAAGGTCAGGAAGAAGTCAACTCCCTCTCGCTGACTGAAGCCTCGTGCAACGTAACGCGCCTTGAAGACAGGCGGAGAGCCCGGCGGCCGCTTCACCCTGAAAATCCACATGCCACTGACGATGTTCGCCCCAGGTGGGGGAACCTCGTCGACGTAGGTGCCTGTAGACTTCCAGGAAGCCATCTCTGTGTCCATGGCTGACTGCCACTGAGAGGAGTAGGGACCGGCCATCGCCTCTGCGTAAGAGCGTGGGGTCGGGATGTCTGGTGCATCCGGGTCTCCCTCAGGGGCAACAAGCATGGACAGGAGATGGGGCAAAGCAGCGGCAAGGCAACCAAACTCCTCCTGCCTGTCCTCAAGGACGTCCGTGCCAAGAGCACACTCACCCCCGACGGACGGAGGACAGGCAGACTCAGACTCAGCAACAAGACTCGCTGCGTAGTCTAGACGACACGCAGCTGCAAAGTCGACAAGCTCAGTGACTAGGGCAGACGCAGCAGCGGACTCAAAGGAAGGGTCAGTGACAACCGTAGCCAGGAGACGTGTGACAGTAGGACTGGCAGCGCGAAGGGAGTCTGACTCCGGGTCAGCAAGAGCAGGAAGAGAGGACGCAGGAGGCGACGGGAGAGCAACACGCTGCGGAGCAGTGGACTGACGAAGCGCCATCCGGTGCGTGCCTGGGACAGCAGGAGGACGCTCACGCGGGACACGACTACCAGTGGTAGCAGCTCAAACAGGCGACGCTCGACGAGACGCAGGTGACACAGGACGTGACGCAGGCTCACGTCTCTCAGCAAGACCGTCAGTCGGACCAGTGTAAGGAGCAGGCACAGGGAGTGGGGAGGCAGGCGGTAACTGTGGCTGTAACTGGATAGACGGCGGACACTCTAAGGCGAGAGGAGAACAAGGAGGAGGAGGCTGACCAAGAACCTGCTGAAGGAGCGGAACGAAGTACGGTCGTGGCCGTGCAGCAGCTCTCGAACCAGCAGAGACACCAGCGGCAGCAGCAGCACCTCCAGAAGCAGCAGCACCTCCAGTACCAGGGTCCGCAGCACCTCCAGCAGCACCTCCAGCAGCACCGCCAGCAGCAGCAGTACCTCCAGCAGCACCGCAAGCAGCAGCTGCACCTCCAGCACCAGGGTCCGTAGCACCCACAGCAGCTCCAACGCCTGGGTCCTCAGTACTAGCAGCACCTCCAGCAGCACCGCCAGCAGCAGCAGCACCTCCAGCAGCACCGCCAGCAGCAGCAGCACCTCCAGCACCAGGGTCCGTAGTACTCGCAGCAGCGTCAACTCCGGGGACCCCAGCACCAGCAGCTCCACTACGGAGACTGATGTGCCGAGCGTACCACTCTCGAAGCTGAGGGGAAGAGGGCGGCTCCCGCCGTGGTGGGGAAGCACGAGTACCAACTCCAGCAGCACCACGAGCCCGAGACTCACCCCGCCGGAGGCTGCAGTACCGTGAGTACCACTCACGCAGCTGCTGCGAAGAGGGAGGTCCTCCAGGCGCCTCACAGTCAGCTGCAACACCACCAGGCTCAGCACCCCCAGGCTCAGCAACTCCAGGCGCAGTACCCCTAGACTCAGCAACGCCAGGCTCAGTACCCCCAAACCCAGCACCCCCAGGCTCAGCACCCCCAGGATCAGCACCCCCAGACTCAGCACCCCCAAGCTCCGCCCGCTCAGGCTCCGCACGCTCAGGCTCCGCACGCTCAGGCTCAGCACCTCCAGCAGGACGCGAGTCGACAGCTACCTCGGCAGGCTCAACCGGGTCTACCTGAGAGACACCTGAGGGAGCGGCACCCTGAGGGGGAAGGGGGTCTACCACTGCAGCACCTGGCGCGAGGAAGAGAGGCGGGGGAGGGAGCGGGGCAGTGCGGTAGGGGAAGAGGCGGTAGAAGGGCACGGACTCGTCAAAAGTGACGTCCTGAGAGGGGAAGACTCGGTGCGAGGCGGGGTGGTAAAACTGCCAGCCAGACGCATCCGGGACAAAGCCAAGAAAGACACAGGGAGCAGTGCGGGAGGAGAGCTTGTCCGCAGACGTGTCGCGAACAAAAGCTCGGGATCCCCAGACACGGAAGCGTGACGCATCGCCAACCTCCCCCGTCCACAGCAGTGTGGGCGAGGTCTCCGGAGCGGAGACACGGGGCCAGAGGCTGAGCTGATGCGCAGCGTACCGGACCGCAAACGGCCACAGAAAGTGGGGGGCAGCCGCGTGGACTAAGGAGGTACGGGCGACCTCCATGACCAAGCCAATGCGGCGCTCAGCAACCCCATTCTGCTGTGGAGAGGCCGGGAGCGTGAACGACTGGCGAATGCCATGCTCGGCACAGTAGGCTGCCAAGAGGTCGGAGGAGAACTCGCCACCTCTGTCAGAGTGCAAGCGCAGAACAGGAAACTCCGAGCGAAAACGCTCTCGCAGCTGAAGACGTGCTCTGCTGATCCAGGGGATCAGAACATCAGGGACTTCACCCTTGGTGCGCAAGGGGAAGACCGTGGTGTAGCGCGAGTAGTCGTCAACGACGATCAAGAAGTACCTCTCCTGGCCCTGACCACGGACGCGGGCTGGGCCCCACACGTCCATGTGGAGCGTCTGCAAAGGAGCAGTCGTCGGGGGGAACGAGGAGAAGTGAGGGGCAGCGCGCTGCCGCCCCTCGACACAGGGAAGACAAGGAGGAGCAAGGGAGGGTGGGAGGGGAGGGAGTACACGAGGAAGACCAGAGACAAGGTACCGGGCGTGCATGCCCCGAAGGCGCTGCACTGACGGGTGACCAAGTCGGTGGTGCCAGAGGACAGTCTTGTGCGCTAGAGAGCGACACGAGCAGGGGGCAGAGAGCTGACCTGACGCAGACGCAGACGCCGCTACCTGAGGGGACTCAGTGGTCAGTGTGTACAGGTCCGACCCCGGCTGCCGAGTGAAGGTAGCCAGGTGACGGCCCGTCCGAGCACACGTGCAGTGTGTCACACGCTCGTAGGCAGGGGTGAACTGGTGAACACCCCCATCCTGAAGCGCACAACCCGCCACCAAGTTCGTAGAGAACGAGGGGAGGTGGAGACCTGACAGTGTGCCCGACGGGACAGCAGGACAAGGAAGGAGGGTGGAGGAGGTCGCAAGGACCGGACCCCCAGAGGGGTCAGCGAGCGAGACAGCAACTGGTCGAGCAAGGGGCTCAAGAGCAGTGCGATCACGAAAGAAACAGCGCGAAGCGCCTGAGTCTAGAGTGAAGGTGTGCAGTGCCTCAGTGGACTCAGTAGCACCTGGGGTGGCGGACACACACGCACCTAGAGCAGTAGCCTCACCAGTACCTGGGGCAGCAGACACGCAAGCACCTAGGGCGGCAGCCTCACTCGTGCGGATGCCTGGGTCAGGCGGAACACTCAGGTACTGGTCCTCCTCTCCACTAATAGTCAATGCATACATTGCTTTGAGAATAACATCAAAATCAAGAGCATAGATATCGATATCCTTCTTGAGGAGATCAGCCCACTGAGGGAGCTCAGGAGCGTCAGGAAACTGAGCACGCCAAGCGTCATCTAGGCGAGAGAAGCAGCGCTGCGAAGTGTGCGCCCTCCCGCACGTCTGTCCCTTGCGGCGACCAGTGCGGATGACGTACGTGCAGCTAAGGCTACCCCCCCCACCCCCGTGCTGTAAGTACCACTCACGAAGCTCCTGGGAGGACTGAGGGTGCTGCGCACTCTGGCCAGTGCCAGAGCCTCCACGACCACCACCGCCGCCTCCACCACGACCACCACCGCCCCTGCCGCCGCCACGTCCACTGCCGCCACCACCACCGCCCCCACCGCGGCCACCGCCGGCGCCGCTGCCTCCACCACCCCCACCGCTGCCACTAGCCCCTCCAGCCCCGCCACCGCCCCCGCCGCTGCCACCACCCCCACCACCACCTCCCCCGCCGTCACCCCCACCGCCCTTGCCTCCCCTGCCCTTGCCGCTGCGGCGCCCGCTGGGAGCGGACGCAGAGCCGACCTGCTCAGCACCAAGAAGGTCGACAGCAGCAGCAGAGGCGACAGAGGGGAGGAGGGGGGAGGGGGAACACCCCTCGAAGAAAGGGGTGCGGGGGTCGCCACGAGAGGCACCTACAGCTACAATACTCTTCTCAGCTGCAAGTAGTTCCTTCTCTAGGGCGGCAATGGTGAGCTCAGTGGGACAGCGAGCTAGGAAGTGGTCCCTGACTGTACGCAGAGTGTCAGGGAGGCGGGTGACTAGGTGGTAGAGAGTGAGCCAGAGCGGGGGAGGGTTGGAGGCAAGAAACTCAGCGGGCATGGCTGCACGGAAGCGGGCATCACTAGTACGGAGGTGAGTGATGAGGTCAGCGACTGTCTGGAAAGCGGACAGGTCGGGGAACAGGTAGGGAAGGGAGAGACGGCCTAGTGCAGCTGAGGTCGGGGAGGAGTAGCGCGCAACTACAGCAGTGTACAGGGCCTGCGCAGTCTGATGCTGGCCGAAGTGCTCACGCTCATCGACTGGCAGGGAGTTGCGAATGGCAAAGCGGGCGTGGGCATCGCGAGTCTGCCACTGCGAGCGAGCAGTAGCGGTAGCAGTAGTAGCAGGAGCAGGGACTGTGCCTAGTGCGTGATCGTACAGCGAGATATCCTCTCTGGCAGTGAGCTGGAGGAACAGGTGCAGATCATCGAGCCAGGTATCAAACTTAATCGGGCGGCCCTCAGAATCGAACGAGAGAACTGTAAGGCTAGCCATAGCTGAAGTAGCAGTAGCAGCACTGGTGGTAGTAGCAGTAGCAGTAGCAGTAGCAGTAGCAGTAGCAGTGCTGTGCACAGGTAAGTAGGGCGCGGCTCGGCTAGGGCGGCGCGGCTCGGCTAGGGCGGCGCGACTCGGCTAGGGCGGCGCGACTCGGCTAGGGCGGCGCGGCTCGGCTGGGGCGGCGCGGCTCGGCTGGGTCGCGCGGTCCGGTTCGGGTCGCGCCGTGCGGCTCGGTCGTAGAGGGGCGAGCGCGGGAGGGCCGGTCGGGGCTAGCGCGGGGCCAAAAGGGGGGGGGGCGTGAGAGGCTAGCGCGGGGCCTGCAGGGGACGTGGGAGGCTAGCGTGGGGCCTTAAGGGGCCGTGAGAGGCTAGCGCGGGGCCTGCAGGGGCCGTGGGAGGCTAGCGCGGGGCCGACGGGGGCCTTAGGAGGCTAGCGCGGGGCCGATCGGGGGCCTTAGGAGGCTAGCGCGGGGCTAGCGTGGGGCCGACGGAGGCTTAGGAGGCTAGCGCGGGGCCGATCGGGGGCCTTAGGAGGCTAGCGCGGGGCTAGCGTGGGGCCGACGGGGGCCTTAGGAGGTTAGCGCGGGGCCGATCGGGGGCCGTGAGAGGCTAGCGCGGGGCCATACGGGGCCTTGAGAAGGAGGCGCTCGAGGCGCAGGAAAAAGAACGGCGGCGCACGAGGGCGCGGCTAGTGGAAACGGTGGGCCCTATCGTTTCGGTCCTAGGTGGAACCTAGGCTCGTAATACCATGTCAGAATGAGAAACGAGAATGAGGAGTGACTAGCAGGAACAACAGTACAAATATGTCAAACCCTAATCTGGTGTACCCCTTATGGTGTGACCCACTACAGCCTAGAACCACACAAACATATAAATGTTTGACAAGGTCTTGTGCCTACTTGGCCTCACTTGCTCACTTCTTGACCTTGCTTGTACTGTGATCTTTCT